ATATATATATATATACTTATATTTATCGGGATAGTTCAAACCCACGCCAAGCAAAACAGGTTTCTGTGACACTCTTTACGTTTATGAAGGTTGTAAAACTAAAATTGACTTTCAGACTTTTGATAACATGTCTACAGCCAGTGTTGTTTTATAAATCAGTAAAAAAGCTGAAAACAGTAGCTTTTGAAATATTTAAATCGGCAAATAGTTCACATTATGAATACCAAAAAAATCAAGATCGCCAGAACAATTAATATGTGTATCCTTAGCTAGTGATGTTACTGGGATGCTCTTACACGTCGGGCGTAGCTTTGCCAGTCCTTTTAAACGTGGGATGCGTGCCTCCTATTTGTATCCATTATCCCGTTAGGTGTATGAGCACTACTTCTTCGGGGTCGTTCCAGTGTTCGTTTACTTTCTGTGTAGATACCACTTCCTAACACTGTACAGTATGAATAATAATATGACAATGCTTTGTGACTTTGGGTCTAAATTCAGGCTAAACTGATAATTTTGAAGAAAAGACTTCAGATTCTAGTTTAAATACTTATGTAAAATCGTTATAAAAATCAGTTTTCAAGGTCTATTAGCCTTACGGGATGATTGAAGATAAAGTGATTTTACCAGGTGCCTTGGACTAACATAAATTGACAAGCCATGTTCACGATTGTTCACGGCGATGATTTTTTTCAGAGTACAGTTGATTACAGCCTGAAATGTCTGAAAGAATAATGCAAAAGAAGAGAGGTGTACGAAAGTGGCAGTTATAAAATTAATAAATGATGTAAATTGGGCTGATGTGTTTGGAGAGCCGATAACTGCCGTAGACCTCAAGATGAAGCTTGCTAACCTGTTTTGTTACACATCAACTTCAACCGCCATCGATAATCTTGTTTTCCTCCTAAAGTATCAGTGAAATTCCCCTTTTTCCCATCTTTATCCCGGCCTGCATCTTTATTTTGAATGAACAGTGAAATAGGCAAATGTAACTCGCGCAAAATTCATAAGCTACAACTTTTAGTTCAAAACAATAAAGCTAATATGAGGTCAACTTTTTTCCAATCTCTCATAAAAGTTTCAGTCCGAAAGCACACGGTGGGTTTTTGCAAACTCAGATTTTCGTGATTCTGATGACCCACTGTTAATTCTTGTGAGAATCAAGTCCTAAAAGCAATAGCTCCGATTTGAGAATTTAATTATTGCCACATACCGAAACCGCTTTAACTTCTCTTACGTAAAAATTTTCAACTCACTTTTTCGTTATTGTTGTTGCTGTAGGCCAAAATGGTAAGACCATTACCATTGCTATCACTGATAAAGTTTTCTATTTCTGGTATCAGAGTTGACTCAATACGAACTCCCAGTTCACTTTTTGAAACATTTACATGCTTAAGTAGCGACTGCTTTGCTGCCGCTGCTAAAAAAAATTGTAACTTAATTTTTTGCTGTAACATCAGAAGTCGCGATTTTTTGAACACTTCATTAGCATTTAGACATGAGTTTGCAAATTGAAACTCTCAACATTCGTTACACTTGCAGTCACCCGCTTAGTTCAAATAAAAATGCTTTGACACGTATGCAACTCACATAAAAATGTTTTAACCTATTTTTATCTCATGCAGAAATGCTTTAGTACGCATCTGACTTGCACAAAAATTCTTTTAAAGGCCATATTGAGTAATACTTTTTTTACGACTTTCGCACGCGTAGAGTGCATCAAGAGGGCTCACCGTTGTTAAAAGTAAGCAGTATACCGCGCCACGTGTTGTTCTGTGGGTAAAGTAAGATGGGTTCTTCTTTTGTCCCAATCATTTGCACAGCTCCTGAAAAAAAGTGCTTTGAAAATTAGATTTTAATTCTTCGTTATGTAAAATCATTGAGAAAGTCAGCACTGAAATACTTTAAGTGTGGTATTTAAGAGATTTTGCCAGACAATTTTTAAGTGAGAAGAAAATGGCACCAACCAGACAAGCAATTTTCAACTTTTTAGCTTACCGTGTGCAATAATTCCAGAATTTTCGTCAAATATGAGGCGCGTCCCAGCATGTATCCGGAGAACTTGATTTGCTGCAACAGTAATACTCTCGGCAATGTGATATGGGGCTTTCTTCGGGATGAATTCTATCACGGTGCTTGCACTTATACTCCTTTTCGGTCGAGATCGTGCATTTACAACCAACAATCTCTGTTTTTGATGTTTGTCGCGCTTGTGTACTACTTTATTGTCACTGGCTCGACATTGTTTGCGCTGCTTCCTGAAACCCCAACAGATTTTCACAGAAAATTATTTGTATTTAAAAAATTTCATTAATTTATATCGTGATACAAGGCGATGCCTGTCAAGCCCTTGCCGCTATGGTATTTGACCTGTGCGTAAAACATTAATAAAATTTACCTCAAAATACTTTTTTCCAAATTCGTCATCAGGCACTGTCGCACGTCAACGTCAACAATTCGAAGAGGCTTATGCGTTACAGTAGCTAAAACTGTTGCATACATGGGCAGTTGAAAAGTGAAATTGTTTTTGCTGTTGCTATAATGCGCCAAGTACCATGACCAGTCACTTTTGCATATTTTATAAATAATATCCCTGCAAATCAATAATTTTAAAGTAGTTCCTTTTTCTATAAATCAATGATTTTAAAGTATCAGTTAAGATGATCTTCTCGTTTACAAATTCTGTTTTAATAAATAAAAAAACGAACACTTCTTCGGCCCCAGTGAGAGGTGCTAAACTGTCAATGGCCAGCGAGCTAATGCAACGTAACCTGGAGAACGTTAATCGCGTGTGAAAACCTTCATATATTTCTCCTATAATTTTAAAAATTGATAAAAGAATAAATTTCTTCTTTTTCAGGAAAAAATAAAATCATCGAACACCAAAAACAAATCTTTTAAATGCGCTTTGACCGCATTAAAAAAAA